AATAAAGTGGAGTTCTCACATTTGGTCTTTACAGCACTCTGTGGCAGATTCGGCCAGAAATGGCCATGTTGAAAGCGATGAATTGAGATCAGTCGAATTCGGTCGTCATCACTGATACACTCCTGAGTCCCTTGACCAGCATGAACATCCCAGTCCACAATCAAAACCCGCGAATGGCCCTGCTTCAAAGCCTGAATTGTGAGTTAAGAATTCTTGGCCTCGTCGAGATTCCATAACTTCCTCTTCACTTAAATTCTTGATGAGTTCTTCAAATCTCGTTCTTTTCTCAGTGTTTTCGCCTGATAAAGAAGAAACCACCCTTTTTGGAAGGGAGTCAACTTACGTGTTTTGCCGCAAGAGCCACATTGTTGAATATACAGAAACCGCAACCTTTATCAGGAAATGCATGGTGTCCAGGGGGACGTACGGCCGCAAAACCAGATTTCCTGCAAAGGAATGAAATAAGCACCGTTTGGGAAGTAGTCATCATCAGGATGTTCCACATTCAAAGATGTTTGTTCTCATTTTTTGCAAAGAATAATGATCAGAAATAACTGCCTTCCTCTCAGTTGAATCAGCTTGATTCTTTGACTTCGCAGAGAGAATCATTTCATCCTCCTCTTATGATCCTTAAGTAAATTGAAAAATTACCCGGTGCGGTTAACTGCATCTATCAGTTCAAAGACACAACCTGCTGCAAGCATTGAACAATCAAATGTCTTCCTGTTCACATAAATGTCTTCATAATGCGATGAGAATTCTTCCAGTTCTTTCTGAAAGCTCACTTGATGGAAATCGTGAAGCAACTTCATTAACATCGATTTTATTATATAAATTCTCATAAGAGTTAGAGTACGTGTAACTCCCCAAGTTCATTTCGACTTACCTGAGCTTGTTTGCGAGCGGCTTAGAAAGTTCTGTAGCATGTACGGCTTACCTCGTTCATATTTCTGGTCCGCTTGATTTCAGAAATATAGTGCTTTGTATGAACCATTTCGATTTCTTCTTCAGTAGCAGCTCTTGGTTGAAGTCGCTCCACTGCTGACGAAATGTTGTACTTCTACAACAGTATCCTTTGATGTACTAATGCCACACGTTTAGAGCACCACCAAGCTATTGTTCTGCTTTCTTTTCTTCCTCAGACACGCGGTGACCTAGCATTCATAGAGGGTCTGCAAAAAGTCGCTCTCCGTTCATCGAATCTCGTCTCAAAAAAGGTCACTGCCGTTCAACAACAAGACAGCTGTCGCTGCTGACTGAACCAGTTGTACTTATTCATTGTTGCTGAGGAAGCTGCAGACGACGGGTACAGGGGGAGGGGTAGTAAGTGCAAGTGATTGAGCACTTTAACTATTCACTGCACCTCACTTTTTGCATCTGTGGGAATTGAGAAATTGTAAAACGCTCCTATTGGAAGCAAGTAATAATAAGAGAGGAAGAATAATACGAAACGCATGACAAGTCAAGAACTGAATCACTTAAATAAGGACAGTTCCAGGTTGTTAGTGCCATGACGTGCACCGATTTACTTAGGCGGAGGCGCTACAGTGGGAAAGGGGTTGGAGAGAGGGGAGAGGGGGACACGCTTAGACCAGGGGTGGGATCCTGGATTGATCTGTGCTCAGTCCTCAGGCCAACCAAGCTCTCTATTCTGCAGGATCTTCGTTTGGAAGAATGAAAGCACTGACTCGTACATCGGCTCGTCACCGCAAGACATTGTATAATATTAGCCGCATTCTCATTCAAACCGCCATTACAACTGCCGTTCTGAATGAAAATCAAATGCGAAACGCATAACAGTGAAGGGAAGAGACTGATTAACACTAGACTTTTATATTTCCTGCTTTCTGTGCCCTCCTCTAATATGAAAATGATAAGTACGCACGTTCATTATTTCGTTATTCAATCCATACATTAGTCATATTTATATTAAATGCAGTCAGCAGAAAGTCCGCTGGCAATTCGGCGGGTATGAAGGGAACGAAAAGTATGCTGTAATGTAACCGTTGGAAAAATTCAAGGTACGTCAACTAGATAGGGAGATCTGACAAAGTCCAATAAGATTGTACTCACCTCTAATGTATCCAAAATTACTTCGAGCCTTTCAGGAACTTCAATATGGTACGTATCCCATGGACAATAATGTTCCAGCATAGCTCGATCCGAGATGAAGAACATTTTCTGATCTGTATTTTTCTCTGAAGTGAATAATTCCCAGTTCTATAGAAAAGATACGGGTATGTGACGTCGGTCTCAAGCTTGCTGTTTCAACCTGTTACTCATAAGTTCGCTGAGAGTTATTTATTATTGTTCATAATTAATTAGCTGAGAGTAAACCCACGAAGGTTATATAATGTTCATTATATGTACAATACAAAATCTATGACACGGACATTACATATTGGATATCAGTAAGTCACACCTCCAGGGTATATAAAAAGATCATGTAATGTAGAGAGAACATAAAAATTGCTCAACTGAGTATTATCCAATCATTCTCTACGAAATGCACTACACCAACTACAGAGATCGCCTATAAACTCTGTGCTGAAGAACCTAATATAGCTCATGAAAAGATGTATGTTATCGCTATAAAGTAAGCGCTATTATGGAATAATAAGAAAGTGACAAATTCAACTAAATTACAGTATCGTGCTAGTGCAAAATAAGCCTAGGTGCTGCATGCAGTGCAAGTTGTCAAGTGATGTTATTTGTGCAAAAATAACGAAGAGATGAGGATAAGAAATGAATAGTGTATATAAGGAATTTACCAATGGGAATAACTTCATCACCAACCCGAATAAATAATAATACTGAAGAATGGAGTAGGTGATGCAGTAGAACGGTAGTGACGTGGATGAAGACTCGATAGTTGTGGTACAAATACCAGAAGTCATAATCACACCATAAAAGAGAGACGGATATTAGATGAGTTCTCAAGTTTCATGTGCCCCTTAGGCCTAATTGGCAGAACTGAAGGCAGAACCGAATGTATATTTAGAGCAATAATTCGAAAATTCATAAAACAGTAGTGGCAGAAACAGCGCCAATATCTCCCGATTCACTTCTTCTTGCACGTTCATCCACACAGTGAGGGCAATACCATCGACCTTTTGGAGTAGCTGATATATTTACACATGGATAGTGGAACCACTGATAAGGGCACTGTAAAACAACAAGATGGAAAAAAGTAGATCCAGTAAGTGCTTTTTACCACACACTGCTTACCGCTTTATTATCACAAGCTACCATATCTCCATAGCTTTTCTCATTACAAAAACACCATTTCCGTTTCGAATCGTCCCCTTCGTCGTCGTCTTCTTCGGAAATTGGTACTGTAATACAGCACGTCATCACTCTGTGTGATGAACTGCTCTCCAAACATACTTTCGTCATCTTCCTCCGTGCTAACATCAGCAGTATGGGGGGCGTCGATGCTGCGATGATAATGATGGCGCTGACGCTGAACCGCTTCCTTGAACATTTCTTGCACGCGTGATGTTAATCTAGGTGATCATTAATTTTAAAAACATAAATTTCAATGGACCACGACAATGAAATCGTTTCGAATCTAAGAAAACTTACTTTCTCGGTCTTCCATGACGGCTCTCTGGACCCACAAACGTAGGCATAGTGGTAGGTGTTGTAGATGGGGTTATCTGAGCGGTTGAACACAAACTCTGAAGTCAACATAACAGTTGAAATCAAGACATAGATATAAGAAAGAAGAGCACGAAAAAAAGTGGAAATCACTCTTATATCATAAGGAATCAGGAAACCTGCCGCAGTTCTGACCTGCTACTATTTTACAAATCCCTAATGTCCACCCCACCATTCGTCAACGATGCAGATATGAGAAAGCGCCCACCCATGAGAAATAATAAAGACTACATTTCAGAAACAAATAATGTATGTTTGAATCATGTTGTTTATAAAAACTATCCGGGCACTCTTTAAGTGATAGACTATTGATAATTTAGCAAGAAACGCTGTAAGAAATATAGAAAGAAACTAGACCCGTTGATAAGAGAATTTTCTTTTATGTTCATGACTAAATCTATACCGTGGGCGTCAGAGCCGAAGAAGGAGGTTCCTCCATAACAGGAAGACTGGAAAGAGGAGTCCAACCTAAAAGCAATGGCATAGAAGGCTAAACGATCCAAGAAAACAAATATAAAAACTCTTACTTTTCTCACTTACGGCTGGAGAGACAGCATTCGCATTCACTGCTGATGGAGCTGATTGTGATGTTTTTAAGCCAACCGAGGTTGAACGGCGCTTCAACACAGAAGTTTCAATTTCTGCTTACCAGGAATCAACGTGAGAGGCATCGACATTTTCGTCAAAATCCACGAATCAAAAACCTACATAGTGACTAACCCTCATAGTATTATATTCGTCTGCAGGAGTTTTTTTGCTCCTCACCGGGCCGGCACCAGACACCATTGGAGATTCTAACTGCAATGAGTAGATGACTTTTTTTGTTTAAACCAACTAACCAATGTCTATTTGGTACCTCCTCTTCGCCGAGAGTGAATTCGGTACGAATATAGTTGCTCAAAGTATTTCCATCGGTGCTCACTCTAAACAGACTAGCGGAAAATAAATAATTTCAGGCGACGAAGAAACTGTAAGTGTAGAAAAAAAAACTTCGGCTACTTAAAAGAGAGAAAAAACGGAGCGAAAAACTAAGGTTTTAAAAATACCTGGGCATTTTTGCTTGAGGTTCGGCAAAATTTTCAACTGAACCGTTGGTCAGCTTTCTTTTTCGTTCCTTTCGTAGTGCTATCAGCGACTCACAGTAATTTGCAAAACCTAAAGAGAATTTGACACGGATGGTCGCGAAACGGGAGTAAAAAGGACTTAGACAAACGTACGGGTCTCAATGACTTCTGTTATTCCTGGATTATCCGCTTCGAGCTCATATTTAAAATGGGTTTTTTCTTTATCTAGGTATTGCATATACGTTTCCAGGACTTCTTGCATTCTTTCAGCGAGGGAGACTTTCATTTCACCCAAAACTCGAAGACGATTGTATTCCTTAAAGCAAAATTTGTGATAACAAAAACTGCCGTGAAGTAGTAGGCATTGAAATACTAGTCTAAAAGAGTATGTGACCGACAAGCTGAACGAAGTTCATATCACACCTTTTGGAGCTCCTGATAGCGATGCTGCTTTTGTTCTTCAGTAAGCTGTCCTCCACAGTCGAAAAACTCAATCAAAGCCTGCCGATTTTGCGCAAGGCCGGCTGAAATGCACACTTTCGTAGAGTGAGCGCTGCCGTTTTGCAATCCTCACTTGGCTGAGTAACCACAGCCCGATAAATCCGAGGACCTTTTACAATGAGATTGCATCTCACAAAGGGTTGCTGTGGAGTAACCCCATTACTGGAGAAAATGGAATTCGAGAAGTCTAAGTGAATTTTCGACGCACTGCTAGCAAGAAGCGATAGGGTTATACTATACCAAGCAAGGATCCAGGAACCCTAAGAGAACTGCGACCATTCTGACTAATCAGTAAAAAAAATTTGAATTGAAAGAGTGTGGCAGCGGTACAACTACACTGCCCGAACTCGAAATTTTTAATATAAACTTAGAATTTCAGATTCTTACCCTCAACCTGCATGTCTATCTGACGCATTTCCGTACATCGCTCACGCAATTCGGCAGGGAGCTCATCCAACACTGCAACGTAAACCTTATATGAAGCTAAAGAAAAAGAGATAAGATTCCTTACTTTCTAGGAAATCATCCAGGAAAAGCATTTTGGAGAGTGCTGACGTTGCGTGACCTGACCAGTCTGATTATTATTCGGTAATAGCGGTACATTTGATCCAAACACATCGCTGCATGTCTAACGATGAACTTATGAAAGATAGGTGGTACAGAAACCATCAACATTTAGAAATTCTTATTAACTAAGGTTTGCATAATTTATTCACACTGCACTACACAAATCTACATGAATTCTCAATCTAGTAACTCGAAAGAATAATTTGTAATAGGATATCTTCTCGCGTCTTCGAATGGGAAAGCTCTATAGAAGTCATATGGATACTGTTTCGGCATCTGAAAAATAAAGGTGGCTTCGATTAGTAGAAGAACTAAGAGTGCAGTTTTTTTTCAAGAGTTCCAAAGACGGACAATGAAACTTACAACTGGGTTCCTCCAGCGCCACGCATTCGGATCTTCATTGGTAACAAGCCACGCAAAAATAGCTATTGGCACAAGTACTCTGAGGCACATGATGATGGAGCCCCACCTGAAGTGACTTTTTATGAAGACGAGAAAGAATGAGTGCGCCTAAAACCTAAAAACGTTCCCATCAGATGAAGAGCATTTTGAAGAGAGAAGACTGGGCCACAGTTAGAATACAAAACTGCTTTTATAAAATACTCGCTTGGCGCCCCAACCAATCTCAGTGATCACTCTATAAAAACCGGAAATGACCAGATTTTATGAGACATACGTCGTGAAATCTTCGGCCTCTAATCCAGTGAATGTCAGGCGATCACCTCGGTAACGCATCATATCAATGGGAACCTGAAAATGGGTATAGTTTCCTGCTGAAACTTGGACTGATACTTCGCACACAGAAGCTTACCATTTCGCCCCAGTTTCTCCTATTCTGGCGATCAGTCCAATCCTCGTAGGGATCCTTATGGTCAAATGTAACGATTCCAAGTTCGGGATAGTCACCTGCATACCGAACAACATCGTCTTGATCGATCGGTTTATAATCTTCTGGGCGGAGTCCGTACCTGGATTGTGCAACGGAAATCAAGCATAGTAACATGTAAAGGATAATAAACTGACAATTAGAAGAGGTGAAAGAGAGAGAGAGTGAGGAAATGATGCCATTCAACAACAACGGTACCTCCACGAACTTACTTCAAAGCGGCAGCGCGTCTTTCCTCATCATTTGTTGGGTATTGTCCAGGTTTGTGATCACGTGGATACCATCCCTCGAATGTAAGAGGGCCACGTACTGAAAATGGGATCATTGAAGAGCTCTTGAAATATAAAAAAGAAAGCATTGGAGGAAGAAGGTGCTGAAATAAACGAGTAGGTCTACTTACAGGCGAGGATACGAGAGACGTGCAGCGACCTTCGGGAGATGGCCCGCAAAGGTGGAGCTAACATACCTGAGGAATGTGAATAAAGTTAGTGACAGCCATTTGACACGAATGTTTTGCGAGTCTTAAAATGTACAACAGTCGGAAATACACACAACATTTCCAGGAAAAATCACATAGATCATAGATAATTATTGCCAATTTTAGATATCTCGCTTTTTTACACCCTCCTTTTCTCCAGCTGAGGTATATCCCATTGTCACTTGGTGCCATTTGTGCTCCTCTTCTCTTTGCTAGAAGCATTGATTCAGTTCAAGATTAATGTATTAAATGACTCAGGTCCACATAGACATAATTTGCACCGTGTTCCTAGACTGACTGCGGATAGTTGAGGGCACAACAGATTTAACAGCTCAAAAGTAAATTGATCCAGAATAAACTGCAAAATATTAAATCCTTCCCAGCTTCAGGGTCTCAACATATGAATACTTTCCCAGCAAGTCAATTGGTGAGCGTTAAACACAGATGGTACACTAAAATAAAATGCTCCGAACATAAATTATGTTTTCAATAATCGAATGTCTGCCTCCAAAGTACTTCAAAAAGGAAATATCTGCCATTTGTTCTTCGGTTATCCGTTTCGTTTCTGACTTTTTTTTTACTGAATTGACGTTGGCATCCAGTTCAAGTTTTCATGAAATTCAATGTGGACAGACAATAGCTTCTCACAATGGCTACATGATACATAACAAAACTTTTAAAAAGCTCGTAAATTACTTGTAAACTAACCCAATTGCTAGGTAACGTCCAGCCTTTACCACTAACTATTTCAGCAGTCAGCTTTGTACCATATTTGTACCGTAACATTCGTGTCAACAAAAACAAACCACAACTCAAGGTCAAAACTAGTGCTACCAATGTTTAAGCTTGAAGTGATTGAGTAAAGAAGTAAAACTGATTTTCACAAAGAAAAATCTAACGGCAGCGGCCGTTACGAAAAATCGATTGGCTGTCTGGACTGCAATTGCGGCTAAAACACAACCTTTACGCCAATATCGCCTTCTTACCTTACCATCCACAGCGACCTTATACAACGCCGGTTTTACATCAAGAAAATCACTGTGCAGGTCGATAGGTAGATCGGCTGTCTACTCCAGGAAGGATGTTCCATCCCGCGAAATCTTGATAAATTGAGCAGCAACTTTGACTTTTTTATCCATCAGATTCTGATGGTTCAACTTCTTAAAAGGCTTTATTTTCTGCTAAAATATGCAATTTTACTATGAACATAGCTATCTATGGTACATTTATTCGTCTTCATCATCACAGCTATTGTAATAAACATTTCTGGATAGTTCAAAATCGCCAATCGCGTATATCCTGCCCTTGAAGTTCTTCGGTATCGCAATTTCGCTCATGATGTCGCAGTTAAGCTGAAAACAAATCAGAAATACTGGAACATTTGGAAGTCTTCGTTTTTCTTGTTATCGTTAATTTCCGTCGCAGCACGCGATGCGAAATCCTTTCGAGGCTGACAAGTGTGAAAGCCTTCCTTAGTTTTATGTGAGAGTTGAACCCGTTCTTGTGCTTTCTGAGTGCTCTTTACCAGAGTAGCAGAAGTGGTGTGGTGGTAAGTTCCCACAAACGCCCAAGGATGATCTGGGGATCGAATCCTGAATCGAAACTCGTCCAACCACTGAAAGAACCACTTCTACATCGGCTAACCACCGCAAGTCACTGGATAAACCACTACGACTTCAAATAAAAGTCGAATTCGTTTCAAAACGATATTGTCTATCGCAAAGTCCCCTCTCCTTTTATTTTAAAGAAAAAACCTGAAAAAAAAA